CCGTGGCATCGCCGAGATGTCCGGTGTTGGTGGAAAAGCAGCGTGGGCATGGTAAACCCTCACTTACAAAAAGATCAAAGAACCACCTTCCTAACACCACTAAAGGATATTCATCCTAGAGGGCCTCCTCAGCATCCTCGTCTCAACAATAGCATACTGGTGTATATACGACTACCCAGAAACGTCCGTTCCCACCCCTTTCCTCACTTCCCACCCATCTAACCCCGCACGCAGCGCCCGCTTCCTCACCCCCAAAGAACGCACAGAAGTCCAACGCCGCCTCCACGTAGACCACGGCCACCTCTCCAACGACTTCGATATGAAATACGTCTACCAAGCCCTCACAGACTGGAAGATATACATCTTCATGCTAATCTGCATGGCGGGCTTCTGTCCCATTTACTCTTTCGCCTTATTCCTCCCTACCATTATCAAGAACATGGGCTATACTGCCAATGACGCGCAACTCATGTCCGTCCCGCCATACGTCTGCGCGTGCTTCTTCACTATCGCTGCGAGCTGGTATGCGGATCGCGTGAAGAAACGCGGTGTCTTCTTGATGGGGTTTCAGGTCGTGGCTATTGCGGGCTTTGCTATGCTTGCTGCGACGGGGAGGCCCAGTATACAGTATGCGGGTACGGTGCTGGCGGCTATTGGGATTTATCCGCAGATTCCGCTGGGAATGGCGTGGAATAGTGGGAATATTGGGGGCAGCTTGAAGAGGGGGACGGGTATTGCTATGCAGGTGATGGGTGGGAACTGTGGAGGTATTATCGCAAGTTATGTCTATTTGTCGCGTGATGGGCCGAGGTTTGTTGTTGGGCATAGCATTTTGATTGGGTTTGTAAGGTGAGTTATCGTACTGCCGCATGGTGTCGGTGATGCGGAGCTAACATGTGGTAGCATGGCGTTTTTCCTAACGTTCTTCATGTCGACGTGGTGTCGGATGGAGAACGCGAGACGCGATAAGATTGCACTGGAAGCTGGGGCGCATGAGTTGACCGAGGAACAGAAGCTGCTGGAACGGGAGCTTGCCGATAACGTGCCGTGGTTTCGATATACCACCTAGAAGTTGGGTTAGTAGTCCGCAGTGACTGTCAGATCTGACCTTGAGTGTCTTGTGCATACTAAACCCATGCGGGTCATAACTTCATTATGGCATTAAGAATATAACAGTCTATGTATGATACAATCAACAATTACGCTCAGAGCATTCTGGTGGGTTGCGTAGGCTGCATGGCCCACTCCGGAGGGTCCTCGTCGTATCTCCTCTCCGTTGGTCGGTTGACTTGGGTTGGTTGCATAGATGACCAGATCGGGGGCCCCTCGTCGTATTGCGTATCGAACGCACGTTCAACATTTGGTACCAGCTCGACGGCTTCGGCCTTCTTGACCCTTCTGAGCTCTTGCTCCTCCAAGAGTGTCTTCTTCACCACGCGCATCTTCATGTAGATCCAGATACCCATGGCGATAGTGATGACAAAGATAGCGCCGAACATGACCGTCTTGATTACGTCGTCGTTGCTCTCCTGTAGGAGCAGTACACCGAGGTAGACGAGGAAAATTTGCTTGGGCAGAGAAAGGAAAGTAGCGACGACGAAATGCCAGAACTTGACGTCGCAGGTTGAAAATACGGCGGTGGAAAAATGCGCTGGAATGGCGGACAGACGGATGACGAGCACGATGGTGAAACCACCATCACGCGTTAGACGGGCCATGGCACCGTAGTTTAGATTGGTGCGCTCCAGTTTGAGAGCCTTGGAGCGGAAGGCGTATTTGAAAGCGTACCATGTGCCGACTGATTAGGTTGTTAGTATGTCTTGCATGGACTTGTAATGACATGGTAAGGCTTACCTTCGCCAATGAATGTGCCTGCTGCAACAATGGCGAACCCGATCCACAGACCATAGACGACACCACACAGCAGCGCAATGATCTCATGACCGAATAAAGGAGGGAAAGAAATAATGATAAGAATAGCAATGGGGATTAGCCATCCTGCTGGTAGGTCTCGCACTTTCTCGGACCACGGCCGTAATTTCTGCACAGACACCGTTAGCCACGTGTTCGTCGGCCCCAAAGCAAAACACCGAAGACTCACCTCAACGACGGCGTCGTGTTTTATCGTGATGATAACGGTCAAAATACCGATAACAATGAACAATATGTGCCATGCTATATGCTGAGTCAGCCAAAAATGTTCCGTGGTCGCATAGGCGGCGGCGTGGTCTTACGGATGTATTTGGGGGCGAGGAAGAACCTTTTCCAGTCGAACTTCTGGTACTCTGTTTCTTCTGGCGGGCCTTGCGACTTCTTTTTCTTTGGTGCTTCGTCCATCATGCCTGACATTTCAATGTCGCTTTCACGTTTGCGGAACCACATCGCGGAGGGTTAGAATGTGCTGGCGGATTCCCGCGGAGGAGTCGCCGTGTTAGGAGGCCAGGTTGGGGCGTAACTGCTGCGCGTCCAGGGTCCAAGCGCAAAACGAATGTGAGGTCGTGAGAATCGGTTATCGCTATCTCCCAACGACGTATGGGGAGCGCAGGTGGTGAGAAGGAACGCTGGGCAAAAGTAGGTCGGCGGTGCGGTTGCGGTGGGTGTTGGTGGCGCGCAGCAGGAAAGGGGAGTGATGTATCAAGCTTCGCAGTGAAACCGGCATAGCCACATCCGCGTAATCCAAGCTCCGGCCAATGGCGACGCGCCAGACGTTGCTATGTGAGACACTGGCGCGGGAGATCGGCGCTTGCAACCTGGCGCCAGTTTTAAAACCTATCACAGTTTCGCCTGGTTTGCGCATCATTTGAAAGGGATCGGCACGGGAAATTTAAAGGTCTTGGGGTTGTGTGCTGTATCCATCGCCGTTGCAAACTCGATACCCGAAGCGCTGGACAGATCTGGGGGTGACTCGCGGCCGGGGTCTTTCAGAAGTGATCGTATGAAGTGGGCGGTGCATGCAGCGCCTCAGCCTTGTTCTCGTGTCCGTTTGGTGTCAGCTCAGACGAAAGGAAAGCCAATATTATATTTAGGTAGCGCCGCTGATCGCTATACATACACGCATCATCAACGTGGATGACCGTTGAAATATGTGGAGTTCCCGGCGCGATGCGTAATGCCGCCGTGGCACTCGCAGTCGATCCGGCTCAAAGGCATACATAAGGTGGCAGATGCAGCTATGGACAAAGGGTGTTTTCTTCTCAGGCCGAAACATGATCACGTGATCATCAATGAGTCAGGCATCAGGAAGGTGGCATCGTGGTGGTCCTAGCGGTTTTGTCAAAAGGTTCGGTGGATCTATCGATACAGTGTTCGTCAAACTATGATGTCTTCTCCCCAAACGTCCATCGACATGCAGCTGCAAGATACGAATCGCCATGAGCGCCAGCCTGAGTCTTCATACCTCATTGTCGAAGTACCCGTGTTTCCGTTATCATGGCACCTTCCGTGCGTCCTACCGGGCTTTGCTCTCACATTTACCCAAACAGGCAAGCGGTTCATCCCATCATGTCCTTCTATGCGACACTTGGGCAGCCATTCATCGTCCTTATCTTCTTCTTTGGCATCTAGCTATCTCTCCCTGTTGCGCGTTAGACACCCGAGTGTTTCCGACCAAACTTTTGACTTACGGTTGAAAGTTTTCGTGGCGCGATGATACAGTAAGAGTTCTGCATTATCTACGATGCTCGTCAGTTCTTGATTAAAAGGTTTCCAAATACCGCGAGATTGGTACTACTCACATGTATATCATAGGTTCCTGCCCCGAATTTGATCCTCAGAAGTGCTGCCAACTTCGCAGGGTCGATGTTACTCCCCGATATCGATTGCGCATCTTCAAAGTCCGACAGATCATCGTCCTCGTCATAATCTCTTATCGAAGGCCTTGATACCTTGACGTATGCGATTGGTTTGGATGTTGACATTGATGTCGCTTTGTTACTCTTTTCAGTGGTAAGAGAGGAGTCTTGAAGAAAGCTGTTGTCTTTCTCTTCTTCACCTTGCGCAGGACGTCACCAGGGTATTTACACACATATCGTGAGGTAGCGAGCAGGCTGAAGGGCGCGTGCATTACCTCAATTCAGCTGCGGCTGTGCATGCGCCCAAAAACTTCAACGAGCTCTCATAGGCAGCAAACGTCGGTTCGCCAGTGCTGCGCCATGCACTTCGGGATGTGACCCCATACAGCTCACCGGCTGAGACACTGTGGAACCAATCCAATGCATCCGTCTAAATTAGGTCGGCAGTGAAGCAGCCACATCTTACAACCTCAGGCACTGGACTCGAGGACGGGCGATTACCACAAAGGACTGACCGCTCAGCCTTGTGCGGCTCAAGGTCCTCCATGAGGCATCCACATATAACAATGCGATACGCCGTAGGGGCTGTCTCGAAACTCAGACAATTGTCTTTGTGCAGTGGACAATGCCTCCCTCGTTCGACATGCGCGTGTTCAGGGCAGATGCCCCACCAAACAAGGCGCGTCGGAGTCCGGTCAAAGGCCCCGCCCCTCTAAGCCTACGGGGCACAGAACAACGTACGGCTCAACCCGAAACCCACAACTCGCAACCGCCGAATGAAGCAAGAGAGGGAGTATCCATACCAAATCAGTCTGACGTGTTGGTACCTGGTTCGCGGCTTCCCGTTCTGAGATCCGAGCACATCTCGCCACCACCTGCCAATCGACCCGATTCAAGCGCTCACTGCCTGAGCGACGCTGGTCTTAGACCAAATCAGCATCCAATAGCCTCATACACCGCGCCACGTCGTGACTCTTTCCATAGGTCATCGGACGGTAGCGTACATGATGACGACAGCCCCCGGTCCTTGCGTAAGTCACAGTCACCAGATTGTGACTCGGATGCCATCGACTCGCACGCAGACAGAATCGCGTGGCCGACTGCGCATTATCGTGGCTCACCAGCATCATCCATAACATGGATCGACCACCATCCAACAGGGGGTTCCTTGCCTGGCCATGACACAGAAGCTGGAGCAGAGGACACACAATGGGAAAGCGACGAGGTATGCTTCATCATGAGAGATTCTAGCTGAGCTTGTCTAATCAGAGTCCCTTCAGCCTGCCTCACTCGGCCATTCCCGCTCGTTCTCAGAGGAGTCATGGGATCCTGTGCGCGCCTACACGTCGTCACTAGGCCCTCCGGCATGTCGGAACCTTTTGATTTCACCGAAACTAAGCGTCACAAATATATCAGACGCTGGTGATCAGCAGCAATTGCATGAAGAACGCAATCTTCGGCCCCCAGAAGTCTCGTTCGACGAAGACCTAGCGCAGTCATTGGCCTCTTTGCCACCCCTAGGCGACAGGTATGAGCTACAACAGGAGATCATGGATGCGCGTCTGAGTACACGAGACAACGAGGGCCAGGTCGAGACATTCGTTTCCAAGGCCAAATTGCGTCATGTGATAACGGTCGACTCTGTGACGCGAGAACTGACTAGGACTGCGACACAGTCCACAGTGCAGCTTTCATCCGAAAAAATCCAGTCCTACGCAAGGATAGTTTGCACAGAAGCGGAGGATGAAAGGCAAAAGGGAACGACCAAAATCACGACGTTCCGCAAAATATTTGCACTCTTAGTGCTAATCGAAGCTGTTTCTTCGATCGTGGACTTCGTGAGAGAGGGAGTCACGGATCAAGATTTACCCCTCGTGAAGCATGACGGAGCCGGCGAATTGTATCGCAAAGGTGGTCAAATCTGTGTTCCTCGTGGTTGCTTCAAGGAATGGTCACCCTTGAAGCTTGAGAACTTTCAACGCTATCAGTGGTGGCTACTTGCCACATACTTCTCGCCACCCGATGACGACGGAGTAGTAAAGAACTACAAACTCCAAGACCAGCACATCCTTCCTTTCCTCACCCCAGGAAATGCTTTGAGTCAGTCTATTGACAAGACTGGTGGCTACGGAAAGGTAATCATGGTGAAGATACCCTCCGATCACCATAATTTCAGTGATACGCGGCTCTGCGAGCGCGGTTTCGCCGTCAAACAACAAGTTCACGACGAGAATCGCGACGCTTATAAAAGAGAGATTGAGATACTGATGAAATTCAGTGGCGGGCGAAGTCATCCACACATAGTCTCCCTGCTTGCAACGTATGAGCAGTTCAACAGATTTAATCTGATCTTCTACCGCGCGGAAGGCGATTTATTCGACTATTGGAAGAAGCTCAAACCATACCCGGTCCTCCATCACAGCAATGTCAACTGGTTTGCCAAGCAGTGTAGCGGGCTTGTCGAGGGCCTGTCGAAACTTCACAAACTACTATCGTTCACCAAACCTCAGTTTAAAATCGAGGAGGAGCAAGTAGAATACTCATATGGTACGTCACCTCGATTAAAGCGAAGAGCCGAAGGCAACTACTTTGTTGCCACTGCGTGGGCATTGCTTCACTTAACAGTGCCCTTTATTGAGTTAACATATTGCAGACATTAACGAGAGTATTTCAGCTCCGTTGGAAAAGAGTGTGAGGTTTGCGCCGATGATTGATCGTGTCGACACAGGCTCGTCAATCCTTTCAAATGGTGTAAAAGAGCGTCCGACGAGTCCACTCAGATCCCACTACGAATTTGGCGACCACAGCCTGCCGTCGCTTAGCCATCAACTCAACGACTTTAGCAATGCACGAAAGAAAGTATACGGCCGCCATGGGGACATTAACCCCAGCAACATCCTTTGGTATGACGACGGCGATAGCGATGACGATGGTTGCACATTGCAGGGGACGCTTAAAATCACTGACTTCGGACAAGCAGAGATACATTCACTGCAGAGCAAGACTGATCGTCGAGAAAGGCCCAACACGATGACATACCGACCCCCCGAATGCGATTTGCCTGATGCGTACATGCGACAGTCTTACGATATCTGGTGTTTAGGCTGCGTTTACCTTGAGTTCGTAACGTGGTTGCTAGGGGGCCGTGAGCTCGTGAAAAGATTCAAGCGGTCAAGGTCAATGACCGACTACTTTCTTCGATTTACGACTATTGATACATTCTATGAAGTGGAGAAGGACCCTGAACTTCCTGGAATACGGGCCAAGGTCAATCCGAGAGTCACTGCCGTACGTTACATTCTTCAACGACATGACACACCGCTAACAATATGAGATAGTTCATCGATGAGCTACATCGACACCCAAACTGTACTCTTTACTTGCACGAGGTACTGAACTTGATTCAGTTTGACATGCTGGTAGTCGACTCGATGGAGCGCAAGTCTTGCATGGATGTGTGGCATTCGCTAGACGCCCTATACGACAGATGTCGTCGCAATGCGGATTATGCGACGATGAGCAACCCTTGGTGCAACATGAGGCGTACTGCTTCATTCGTTGAGCAATACGTCACGTCAGCATCGGCGGAGGCCATGCAAGACGATCCACCAAGTCCAAATTCAGAAGCTCCAGCAGTACAACCGATCGCATCGAGAAGAAGACGCTTGAGCCGTATACCCAAACTCAAGTCTCCTTTACTCGCATAACCTCGGATGGAGTGATTGAGACGATGGCTGTACTGTGCCGGTCGATGAGCGAAAAGCAGGCTATGAGCCACATGTCTGAACGAGCGTTTTCCCCTCAGGACAAGCTCTGGAGGCTTTGGAGTATTCTGAAAGTGCGCTGTGCTTTGAAGTTCCTTGCTATAGCGATCTGGGACGGGTGCGCATCATGCAGGCTTTGGCAGGTACTGAGAATCCCCAGATCTGCGCGGTCCCTGTCGCGAGGCTACGCGACGGCGATGAGCCCGCTGATCACTGTGTTTGTAATTACGAGCGGTGTGCATAATTGCTTTTTTGCCCTCTCCCACGTAGGCGTTCATGCGCTTCAAGGAACAGGTGGGGTCCACCTGCACCTAGCCTGTGGGGTCCAATATTTACTGCGTCCTCTGAACGCTTTGGGTCATGTTCCCGTCTTTCGCAGCTGAGCTGAGCATCACTTGCGAGGCTGAGCGTTACCCACGGCATGAGCATCCCGGGACTTTTACTCTGATTCGATCATCATAATGATGTGGCGCACATCCATCACAAATCGGACTTCAGCTTGCAAGCGGCTCTGCAGATTAACCGCATGTCATAAGGTGTTACATGTGTCCGTGAAACCTGGCTTTGCCGATCCGTAGGGAGACCGCGACTTCGTCCTGAATAACAACTTCTCAAGATTTAGCATACACTGTTTGCGAATATTCGTGTCGAACCTGGAGGGAAACACGTGGATCTAACCAGCGCGATGTTTGCCCCTACTGCCCTGTCTCTGATACTCTTCGTCGTCATTGGCTGCCTGGTGTGGGGAATCAGAGCGCGCGCGATCCAGCCGACCCGACCCGAGAACCTAGCCAACAACAAGGAGGAACGCTCCGAAGCACCCACTCTAGCGCCCGGATTGAGCGATGAAGAATTAGAAGGTCTCATTACGCCCAAGACCTTATGCTCCAATCTAGTCGAGACTATACTCGGTCGTCTAGCAGCAGCAACTTTCCACGATCCAAACCGCCTTTACCTGCCGGAAAACGCGATCAAGGAGGTGATCGTCCAGACAGCGATTGAGCAGGAGCTGGCTAAGATTGAGAAGTCTCCAATAGAGCAGACCGCTAAGTGGGATCGTGAACGTCGGTCTCAGCTCGCGACATGGATCCGTACCAAGGCCCCCAAGGTATTCGCTATCACTATCCAATGCGACTTCGAACCATCTCTTCTGCTCTTAGCTATGGCTATATTCCAAAAATGGGCGTTCACTGATGAGAAACTACCAATCGATGACAAACCGCCAAGTCAACAAATCTTTCTTCCACAGATCTGGAATCAACTCAAAATCGTCAACTTCCGAGAGAACCAGTGGAAGTGTTTAGCTCCAGTGTTCATACAGCAGAAGTATGGCTATGATCTGAAAGCGCAATGCATATTTCCGTTCACTTCAGATGGGGCACAACCAAAGGACGGTGCTTTCAGTTCGGTATATCGGGTCACGATACACAAGGACCATCATGAATATCCAGAGATACGGCAGGTACGTCAGCAGAAGTATATATTGGATCTTTATCGCTGAACTCTTAAACAGGTGGCGCTCAAGGAGCTTAAAGTACCACAAGGAGAAAAGGAAGCTGCTGGAACCGACCGGGCCTGGAACTTTGAAGCTACCGCTCTCGAAGCCATCAGGAAGCTCAACCATACCCATATCGTGAAGTGTATAGCAGCTATCCGAAGAGGCCACAGCCGCTACTTCATGTTTCCCTGGGCCGACGGGGACAGCTTGCGTGATTTTTGGGACCACACGCCACGAGAGGCCCCAAATGCTTGTATCATCGAACACACCATCGTTCAACTTAGAGGTATCGTTGATGCATTGGACCAACTACATAATTTCAACAGCGGGCGGCCAGAACAGCATAGCGGAGCCGATGGCTTGACGATACGGGTGGGCGACCCGAACGCTGCGGAATCGTATCCGAGCGGCGGAAGTGATGCCGGTAGCGATAACGGGCTTGACAACGAAGTGGATGAGTACAAGAATGCGGACAATGCGGAGTCCATCAGGCATGGTGATTTGAAGCCGGAGAATATCCTCAGATTTCTCACCAATGGATCTAAGTCTGGCCTGGGGACCCTGAAGATCGCAGACATGGGCCTGGCTAAACGGCATGTGGTGGCTACGCAGTACAGACCGAAGCCTACAAGTACCAGATACGGTACCCGACGGTACGAAGCGCCTGAAACTGTTACTGGTCGAAATGCACGCTCCCGACTCTATGACATCTGGTCGATGGGATGCATTACGTTCGAGTTCATCATCTGGATCTTATACGGCAATGACGAATTGAACAACTTCTACAAACAAATCGAGGGGAATGCACAACAGATTTGCCAGTACTACGAAGTCTTGGACGCGAGCGAACCGGAAAGTGCTAGAGTTCACCCTGTGGTCTTGAAGTGGATGGAGCACATTCAGAACAAAGATCCGGAATGTTCACCAGGGCGAACCTCAGCGACCAAAGATTTGCTCAAGATCGTACGCGAGATGTTACTAGTCGTCAATCTTCCTCCCAACAGGAAGAGTGATACTCTGAGTGGTCGACCTCTTCAACCCCCAGCACTCGGTCAATCTGTCACAAGGTATCGAGCTACGGCTGCGCAGTTTCGGGACGAACTTGACATTATATTGAGGAATCGACACATGCCCACTTACATGTTCACTGGCAAAGACCGCACCAACGTCAGAACGCCAACCTTCACGGCCCCAATGCTATCGCCGAACAGTGCTAATCTTCCACTGAGCAGCCTACCGCCTCCAGGACCGCTCAGGAGTGGAGTTCTCGGCCAACCTATTGGTGCTGACTACACCCTTCCACCTCTCAAAGACTGGGAGTTCAATATCGATAATGATTTCGCTCATAAAGTTGTCGCAACTGTCGATGGGCAGGAATTTATCCCGCAAACACACATCGCTCATCGACTTTGTGCCGCATGCTCGGCGCGAGACTTCCTACAAGGCGGTTTCAGCATCGAAGAGCGGGTGTCAACGTTGGAAGACCGTGCACCGGAATGCGATTTGTGCAGAATGCTGTACGAAATCCACAACCAAGCCGAAGAGCCCAAAGGAGATCCGGCGGTATTCCACCGAGACCAGTCGAACATTGTTTTGACGGGCGACTCATATCCTGTTCTTTCTCTAATCAGAAGTCCAGAAACGGACCTTCCGTGTCCAATCCAAATTGGCTTCCCGGAGCTCCCAGAAGCTGGGTCAGACGCGTTCTTCAGCATCGTAAAGCTTTGGCTCAAAGATTGCGATACGAATCACACAGGATGTGAGGGGTTATACCATAGCCTGCCGACAAGACTCCTCGACGTGGGTACTCTCGGTACGCCTATGCTGCGCCTTGTCGAGACGAAGCGAGAGCAGATCCCGAGCAAACAGTACATCGCGCTGTCGCACCCCTGGGGAGATACCACCAAGTACACACCGTTTTGTACCCTGCCAGAGAATTTAGAAGACTATCTTCAGGCCATTCCCGAAGGCGATCTTCCAGCAACCTTTCATGACGCTGTCAACTGCACACGGAAGATTGGCATCCGCTATCTGTGGGTAGATTCTCTCTGCATCATCCAAGGTGAATACGGAGACTTCAACGATGAGTCTAAAAACATGGAGGCAGTCTTTAGTGGAGCGTATTGTGTACTTGCTGCAAGCCGAGCGAGCAATCAACGTGATGGCTTCCTTGATCCCAGACCGCAGCGTGAGTACATCACCATTCAGCGAGACAACGAAAAGCCCTTCTTTGTCTGCAAGACTATCGATAACTTCAGTAAAGATGTTATCGAGGGGTCTTTGAACCAGAGAGGTTGGGTGTTGCAAGAGCGCGCGCTGGCACGACGGACCATCTACTTCACGGAGAACCAGACATACTTCGAGTGCGGCCAAGGCGTTCGATGCGAAACCTTGGCTAAACTGCACAAGTGAGTCATGACACCCTCTGCTTGTTTGATCATCATTGACCCAAAGCCCAGCAATATGGCCGATTTCCTCGGTGACCCAAACTTCCCGAACAAGGCCATGCGAGCCAACCGCGCACGGAAGATTGCTTACTTTCAAGGCCTCTACAAGCAATACTCTCGTCTCGACTTCACCCGCTACTCCGACCGTCCTTTTGCCATTGCGGGTCTCGAGAAGCGTCTACAAAGTGCTTTCAACACAAGGGGAGCGTTTGGCATCTTTGACGATGGCGACAAAGAAGACGGCGGACTCTTCCATCGGAGTCTCTTGTGGCAACGCGGCGAAGAAAACGGGGATCTTCCGAACATGCCCACGATTGAGTTTCCACCAGCGCGCAAGGTGAAAGTCCCAAGTTGGTCCTGGATGGCGTATCGAGGTGGCATAGACTACATCGATCCGCCTTTCGACCAAGCAGACTGGGAGCGCACCGAGATAATCCCGCCTTGGACGCGTGGCGGAAGCAAACACTCCACGACAGACACCAGTCCACAGGAGGACGAGATCGCCATCATAGCTCGGGTTCGCGACTTCAAAGTCGCGGGGCGATTGCCAGAGGAGGTTAAGATAACGTATGATGCTGAGAGGACAAGCGCGAGCGATGGCCAAGTCACTCAGTGTGTCATTGTCGCGAAAATGAAGGGCGGCAGCTCGAATTTGCTGAGGCGATATTACGTCTTGCTTGTCACAGCGACGCAGGGGACGACGGGGAGGGGCGAGAGGAGGTATAGGAGGGTCGGAGCGGGGTTTATGTTGGGAAAGTACATCTCATTAGAGGGGGAGGGTATCGCGGCGAGGATCGTTTAATGAAGTCCTTCATCTGTTTCGTGAGATGCAGGTTTTATGCTGTCCCTGAGGGCAGAGGTTTTGACGCGCTATCACGTGACGTACCTCCCCGCCTTAATTCGTGCGGCGCGGACTGATGCCTGGAGGACGCCTTAACCAATAACGATAACAACACCACGACGCGAGCCATGCCGCCAATGCACCAAGGGACGGCAGCTAAAGTCTGCCCTCCTACTGGAATCACTTGACGTTCCTCTTCTTCTTCCTCCCCTCGTCGCATCATCATGGCCGAAGCAGCAACACCATCGAACTCGGAACAAGTCGCGGACGATGACCTCTGTCCCGTAAGCATCACACGCGAATACGCGTATCTTGACTAATATACCCCAGATATGTCAGCTCCTCCTCTTCACGCCTGTGAAAACCCAGTGCAACCACCTGCTATGCGCGTCCTGCATGGCACAATGGTCCGACGCCTCCAACACGAACCGCATCGAGCATACCAGCTGGGATGTGAACCTCGCAGATTTCGATGCGAACTACGATCCGACGTACGACCTCGAGTGCAACTGTCCGATGTGCAGGACGCGTACTAGTGCGACTCCGGATAACGCGCTGGCAAGACAGTTGGAACTAAAATATCCTATCACGTATGCCGACAGGCGCGTGGAAGAGGAAGAGGAGAGAGGGTCGCGTATTGGCCGTGATGGCTTTGAGGGCGTCATGATGCTCATAGGAAATAAGCATAGCCTTATTAGGAATGCTGGAGATGCTAATGAGCATGACTGGACGTTCTTTGTGCGCACGTCGAGGCCTGATTTGATTAAGGAGGTGCATATTCATCTGGTATGTTCTCAGTTTCGGCTTCGCCTCTGCCAAAGGGAGGCTCGATACACGATCGCTCGCTGCAGATGATAGCCCCATAGGAGTCCAAGAAGATCATGGAGGCGTGCAATTCGAAACGCCTGCGCGCCGACCACTTCCTATCGCTGCAGAGCTAACACATGATAGCATCCAACATTCCGACGATCCCACGTCATCTTCCGAAAGCCACCTTATGAATTCGAAGCTCGAGGCTGGGGAACCTTTGTCATTCGTACCGAGATCGTACTCAAGCAGCCGTATAATTGGATTATCGATAATGCTGGCACCAGGCAGCAGGCTCTCGAGCTGGAATGGACCCTTGATTTTGAAGGGGAAGGCAGACAGGGCAGAGTGAGAGCCAAAGTGAACAGACTTGATGCTGCAGCCAACAGCACCGGTCGGGTGTTACGGTCCAGGCAACCACCTCCAAGTGCACCCATTCCGGATGATGACGATGACGAGCTAGACGACGATTACGAGGCCGCCCAAGACGAAGACGAAGACGAAGACGACGATGAAAGCTCATCAGATGAGGACTTTGAGGAGGGAGCCAGTGAATACGTTGAATCGTCACGAAGATAGCAACCGTGGACGCCAAAATATCTCCAGCAAGGGCTTCGCGACGTCTTAAATTCGATCACGAACGCCTGTCGATCATCTTCTCGAAATAGCCAACTCAGTGGCAAAGCTCCTCTTTCGGTCACTGAGCTGCGAATATGCATATCTTTGGGGAAAAGAAATCCAATGATTCAAACGTGCTGAAACTATGCAGACATTTTGAGACGCGGCTTGCTAATAATCGCCGAACCGAATAGCATTAACCTATACAACCTTTACTGCCATCTGTGTAACCACATGGAACGATAGGCGCGTGTGCATGTACTAGTCTGGAAGGGCGTGGTTCGCTGTTCGCATCTCATTCGCTCTTCCCGGCACTTGCGCTGGCATAGTCTTCCAAATTGAGACCTCGCCAGCCAGCTGAAGGGCTTGGCATGCTACAGCAACCTGTGCACTATCTTGGCAAACGTCAGCAGGCTCGAAGTAGGGACAGTGTTCGGCGAATGAACGAATGCTCAGCCTGGTCCGCAGCATCTTGCGAGACCGAAGACTTGTGCACGCTGAGCTTATTTGAAAGCTTGGCGGCGCATGCTGGTACGTCCGACATTGGCAGTCATCCTGGCAGGTCGGCACGGCTCAATGCTCTTGCACCGCTCACACCGACGCCATGGTTGGCTTTACCGATCTCGGATACACAGAATTGTATCGTGTAACAACCGCCATGCAGCAGATCTGCAAGGCTCACGGCAGACGGCGCTTCCTTGCCAACAGCTAACGACGCCTCCGTAGCGCAAGCTTCAAGAATACACTTCGGATCACACAACCTCTCCTGGCATGCAGTCGCTCTTATGCAAGCCTCTCCGTTGACATAACGCGGTTTTCATTGCCTGCGCCTCACTGGTATTGTTTCTAGAAGCGTGACACTAGGACCTAACGGCCCCCCAGATACACAGATCTGAACGATCGTTCGGTACAGATGGCTCACTCAAGCTTTCTACCACAGCCATGCTACTCTTAAAATGGCCATGTTATGGGGCGAAGGCTTATCACATACAGCGATGGCCTTATTGCTACCCGTCGTCGATTACGGACCGACGCGATCTGACCAGATGTTTCACCGTCACGAAGCAACATCCTCGTAGCTGGCGTCTTGTATATATGTTCAGGTATTGTAGCTGCCTTGTTGCTCAGCTCTCTCATCAATCCAGTCATACCACCACCCACGATCATCAGTTTCTTCCATTTGTTTCATCATGGATCTTGCACGTTATTTCAGTTTACGACGGAAGACTACCGGCAGTCACAACAGTACTCACCCAGCGCATGGAAAGGATAGGACTTATCTGCCCCTACTTGCAAGTCCCATCAACGAAGATGTCCTCGAAGTAGTGTCGGGTAACTCTTCAGATTTGGAGAAGGTCAACACCCATACAAGCACACTCGACGGTTCGAATGACGCCACTACGTTTGCTGGGAATGGCAGAACAAGTCGCGGAAATATCATCATTTACAAGCAACATACTGAAGCCAGTACGATAGAGCTCTTCTATGATCTCTTCTTCGTTGCGAATCTTGCGTACTTTACAGCTATGCATCAGCATACCGACGCAGAGTGTATGTACAGCTCTAAAAACTTGGATGCACTAGCTAACAGACTACTAGCACTCATCAACTACATCAAGCTCTTCACACTGATGTGGTTTACCTGGCTAAGCGTCACACTTTTTGACGTGCGCTTCAGCATCGACTGCGTATGGAACCGCTTTCACAAAGCCATACAATTCGGCATTTTCACGGGCTTTGTGTATGCTGGACCGGTCTTCGACAAGTACAGCACCAGTGGTGTCGAGAAATCGTACCGAAACTTTGCTATCGTGCTCGTCATCGGCAGAATCGCAATCGCTGTTCAATACGCTGTGGTTATGTGGCAAGGTCGCATGTTCCGTCAAACATTGATCCCGTTAGGGCTCAGTGCAGGTGTACATGCTGCTGCTGCGATATGCTATGCCGTTACCATGGTTGTATTTCCCAAGGGCCGTGTTGGTCTTGAAGAACAACTCGCATGGTATGTAGTGCACTCCGCGTTCGGTTTCTAGACTAACAGAATGCGTAGGGTCATGATATCAATCATTGAAGGTCTTCTCATCTTTCTCATCGCCATGATATGGCGCATCATCAGTTTCAAATACACTCATCTAGCGGAGCGGCTGCAACTCCTTACGCTCATCATTATTGGGGAGGGTATCATCGGAATGGTCAAGAGCGTGGCATGTATTACCAAAGGCCAAACGAGCAACAACATGAGTGAAATTGGAACCGTCATCGCGGCCATTCTTCTCTTAGTATGCAGACAAGAACCTAAAAACTCAAAGACAGCGCTAATTGGACCTTTAGTATCTTCTCTGGATGCTGTACTTCGATCAGCTTTCCCATGATCGTTTCGGAACCGTGCGTCAGCAAGTATGGGCTCTACTACACTATCCATTGCATTCAGCAATTCTCCTGTGCGTCGAAGGCAACACCTCTCTCATCGTGTGGAACTCAGCCGTGCAAGCTCTCAAGTGGATATGGTCTATCAAGCCTGAGAATTACTCCGACTCAGCCAATGGCTACTCCGACGCCGACAGCTATATCGACTACCTTAATCAGAGCATGAACGCTATCAACGGGAGATTCAAGAGCAAACTTTGGAACACCACTTACAACTGGAACACGAACTTCACTGCTATCGAGAATTACACTGCAACATACGGCTTCAAGTCAGACGAATGGAACAATCGAACCGGTGACGTCACTCGTCATATGTTCGACAGGGCGCAAGTCTTCGTGTACGAGGCACATTATGACTCTCTGGCGAAGCTTAACGCCGTTACCTCGACTACAGCTAGTCCGCGAAACAAGCTTGACGCCGTTTCTGATGTCTTCAACACCACTACCATGCAGTTCTTCATCGGCGCAGGCTGTCTGTTGTTGGTGCTCGCGATCATGTACTGGTTCAACAAGATCCACAAGACGAAGTATGAGTTTGGCGAGATCATCAACAGAGTTGTTGTCGGCTTTACGCTTATTATCCTGGGAATCACTGTCGTCATTGCAGACAAAACCACCAGTGGTTTCAAGTTCAAGGGGAGTCATTGGATGATTCCCATAGTGGTGCTGTTCTTTGCTGCAGGTAAGTGTCCTCTACATTTGTTATCGGGAGACTGAGACCATATGCTGACTTCTTTGCCAGTACTGTTCTTTGACAACATCCTACTTGTTGTCGCACAATACACCAGCCGCCATCCACGTCACTCGCACAATCGCGATATCTCATGGGGTAACAGGACCCTGAACAACGACAGCGACGATAACGAAACTGGTGGTCTCATATCAAGATACCCCAGCCGCGCACCAAGCCCCAGCGGCACACCCAAACGTGCGCCTCGCAGCCGAAGCCACACACCAACACCTCCCTTGAACAGAGTTCAAACCGCGTACACGCCATTCACAGACTCGCCGCCTCAGCCCCGCGACTTTGTCACAGGTCCATCAAACGGCAAGGCTAGGATGCTAAGTCACAGTCCTGGCCCAGCGGTTGACAATGAAGCCACACTCCAAGACGAAGGACAGCACGCAGGACATGGCCGCGGCAGGGCCAACACAGCTGACTTCTCGTACGAAAACACGCCCACCAGTGCTTTACCCAGGAACCAAGGGCTAGGCATTGGTATCACGGTTCAGCGAGCCAGTACACCCAGCCTGTACGGTAACAATCACCAGGACGGTGATGTGCGAGAAAAGGCTACTTGGAAGAGCTTGGGCGTTATGACTGAAAATGATTATGAAGGAAGGGGGTATGGTGATGCTGGGTTGCAGCAACCGATGCGTGCAAGGGCTGTTAGCTTTGAGGATCATGGGCCTGGCGCTTGATCATCTCTATTGACACGGCATATGTGGTGGATGGATTGATAGTTTAGCGTGCATTTTGTCGGTGTTCTGTACTCTTGGAGATCTAGTTGCAGCGCTTTGCGACTTCTCATACCGCAGCGTGGCTTCCTATAGTCGTTTGTCTCGTAGAAAGCGTAGATTGTAGTCGCCCGTTACTTTTAGATCTTTTATTTCATCGCAGTCATGTATCTCACAAAGCCAGCACACTTCCGCGTTAGGAAGAAGCAATAGTTCTGGAATGGCTATTACATTATAGCAGCTCAATTGCCCAAATTGTCCATCGCACCACACGAATCATCTCATTCCATTAGGTACTCACCTTCCTCTCGCATCGTGCCCCCAATCTCCACATCTCATGTTTTAAACCAGCCACAGGCACGCTTTCTGCCCGGGCACCAATCACAACACAAGGCTAAAAAGCTAGCGACGCAAGGCTGCAGATGCGGGGCAACCCTTAACGCTTACCTCGCCCCTCAGCAAGGCAGCCTACTTGCTGCTGGCTGCGGCGCAGTGCGGATCACAAGGCGTAGACTTGGTAAGACTCCCGAGGACGGCTACGTGGTTGTAAGCATCATCATCCAACTCTATTCCTTCTTCCCCTGTTACACAACGTCTGTACGCGGAACCGTCATTGTTGTACGAGCGCTTGCAAGTGCGAGAATCTTTGTTGCGGACGGCACGGCATAAGATTTGCAGTAAGGAAGAGCGGTAAGGGACTGTGCGAAAAAGGGGCTTGGCACCGATTTTACGTTCAGCGGGTTTACGAGGATACGACGCGAAGTGCCGAGGTTGATCGCGCAACGTGGTTTTCGCGTCCTGTGGTTTAACGCAAGGGAACTTCGCTGGCGACGACAGACAGACTGAGCAGGAAGTTTCAATTGAGTCGAGGAAGTTGCGCATCGTTGTGATTCTTGCTGCGCCTGGTGTGCGGATCGCAGAGCCAAGAGCGTGGGAAAGTCGTCATACTCGGGCGAAGGACGCGACAGAAAGGGGCGGAGGCGATTCGAATTGACATTGAAGTAGCGATTGAAGGGATCCAAAAGACGTGAAGGGAAAGAAGTAGGAGTGGTTACTTCCATTGCGACACAGCGCTGCGTCAAGGCACGTACAAACGAAGAGGAACCTTGGAAGGGAAGCCCCGGACAAAGACAGCAACAACGACGACAACGACGCGAATCCCGCAGGACACCGTCGATCCACCATATCGAAGCTTCTCACGAAACTTGCTCGTGGCTAGGAATCTGCAACATCATATCGCCATTGCTGCCGCCACCCAAAATTATTCTTATCTTTAAACCTCATCACCGCGCCCGCCAGACTTTCACCAAAAGACACGACCAAACCCATCGCCATGCTCTTAACAATGTCAACCACATACCCGCGCACAAATGAGTTCCTATCTCTACTTTCGCATTGGCACGTCCGCAAGGCCGAAACCACATTCCTCAAACGCCTCAGCATGCGCGGCCTGGAAGTCGTCGCGCTCGCAGCAGCTATGCTCTTCGTTCCACTTACCATGCACCGCGCGGTACAAGGCCTAGACGAGATATACGAACTACTAGGACGAAGAGCGCAGTCACCGTATGTGACAACCTCATGGATGAGCATCGCCGCCGCTGCGACTATGCTACTAGGATGGCACATCTGGCTCGGTCGGCTGAGTTACAGAACCATTCTAGAAGCGACATCGATACCTTTAGAAACAACTAGTACCACGGAAGAAAAGGAGTACCTGAAAGAAAAGAAGGCACAAGAAGAACGGATATCGTGGGGTCGTATACTCAGCCGCCTCGTCATACCTTGTCTACTTCTTACACTGGGTTCGCACTTCGTTTTCGATATCTTCACGCGCATCAAGGATCCCAGACCGCGGATTACGCTGAATAATGTGGACATGCAGGAAGCTATCGGGCAGCTGTATGGGTTTCGATGATGGGCCGTATGTCGAAGTAAGACATCACAGTAGGATTGGCTAGTACGGAAAGATAGTGGAGGTACGGGCATGCGACTTCCAGAAAACACCAACGGACATATCGAAGCCCGGACGTCAACACCATACTGCAACGAGCACCCCGGAGTTTCACCAGCAATCTACATACAGTCCGCGGCGAAAGATAAACGCCTCAACGCCCGGTCTCTCGTTCGTCTTACGAGTACGTACCCCAGGATATACTTCGGCCCAACTCCGGTCCCACGCCACGCCGCAGCAGCAGCAGTCTCACCCATACCCTACGACATTTCTCTCCGCATGATGTCATGCCGAAATCGACTTTCTTGTCCCGTTCATCTACCCCAGACTCGGCCTTATTGTTTACGTCGCACAAGGAATTGCGACAAGTGGGAAAGGTCGTGGCTTCGTTGGGCATCCAGCCAATGTTCTTGGCGAGAGTGCACGTGGGCACTAGCGAAGCTGGTGTGCGTGGAGGTGTTCGGCCCGATTTTCGGGGGGCGAAGTTGGATGAAGGGCCGAGTGGGCTGACGGGCCGGATGGGGTGTTAGCGCGGTTGGTTGCACGTGGTGAGGCTGAGGAAATGGGGATGGTGTTGTGGTATGCAAGCGATAGACCTTCGGAGAGATAGCAGTGTGATGCTTGTGTCTTTCTGACGAGGCTGGGAGATGTTAATTGTCGGAGGCGTGGCTTTGAAACTGGAATCGCACGGAATGTCAAGCGAGAGTGTAGCATCACTTGCTCGTAGTCAAAGATATCTGTGCTCCAGGCAAGGCGTAAGATGGTAGACGTATGGTTGGTAGAAACATTGTTATCAAGCTAGATTTCTGATTCTTATGCAATGTACGGAACTGATTTTGAAGACAATCCAATCATTCATCCCAGAATCGATGAAGAATGTCTGCAAGATTTCTGCGGACTTGATCGCACATTGCTTCATCAATGCTATACGGCGAGACCGAACGAGCTATCAATCTATAGAGAAGCATCTGATTCAGCCCGAATTACACAATCTGGCATGCTTCGCATCCAACGCCGGGTCAAAGATCACAGGGTCACTATACTCACAGGTACGCTACTACTACTGTTCACCCATCTTCAAGCGGGGGATGACAGCACCGGTGCATCTAGACAAACCATCATACGTCAGATCGCTGACGGAGATATCTCGAGCCGCAAGCGTACCGCATACGACCCGCGGTAGCGTACCGTAAGACTCCAGTGGTACCCTTCCACATGACGGGCGTCTGGCTCGCGACCGCGCAACGTCAAAAACGTGTACCGTACCACGGTCTCGGGGGTAATGATGGATAGCGCGTGCCTAGCGATGATCACATGTGACAATTCCATATTGGGCGTTTCTCCGCCAAGTAAAGCATGTCTGGGTATTGCGCTTTCACAAGGAATGTGTTTTCCGACGGGGAAGGACCGCGTTGTTCAGTCTATCAGCTGCGATGGTCAGTACGCGACAACTGCTCTATATTACCTCTTTCTGCGATGTGATCCTGTATCCCACGTTGATACCAAGAGATAGAGCGCCCAAGAGCTGTATCGCGGTTCCGCAGTCTTAGATGAAGCTTGGTCTTCAGCCATCCATTTTCCGTAACTCCAATAACATGATCAGTCCACGATGTGAACAATGCGGGGAAAGATGGAGCCGTCTGGCAATCCCGGTTAGACAATCCACACGTTATCAATTGCGGAGAAGGTCCTGCAAGGTACGGACATCGAGCCAAAACGACGTGAACCAGCATGAATAGTGTGTTCACGGCAGTGGGAGGCTCCAATGCGTCGACCCGGAGGCGTGGTGTAGGCGGGATCGCGGTGCGCCACCAGCGGTACCGGGATGCTGGCGACGGGATCAGTTGAACGTTTTGGGATGTAAAGAGCGATGGTATATATCGCGCACCGACGCAAACATGCGATGGCCTGAGATGTCGTCTGCCCTTAGTCGAGTGTCTGAGATAAGCTTAATGGTGTTGAGGCATTTGAGGCACGGTCGCGTAGATGCGCATAGGATCTATGAGCCGAGCGAATGGTCGGCTGTCTGTCTCGAGAACTCAGGTTTTCCCGCGGTCCTTTGTCAAGGATGTCTGCAGCAGCGCCGAAAGCCTGGCGATAAGACATGTAAGACATCGTGCGCACCTCACGACCGTGTTCTTGGATCGCAGGGCGTCCAGGTGCAATCGTAAACCTTGACCAACATTGAAGGCCGGCAACTGCATGCATAGGCGTGGGTGAACTGATACGGTTTGATAGTGGCGTACACGGGGGCTGACGCGAGGCGCATCGAGGCAGACATGGCGCATCGCGACGATAGCGGAGAAACTTTCGGAAAGCATTGCCAAGCACTTTAATATGTTGGAGAAGATGCACGCGTATGAATTCGGGCGACTCTGCCGAAGCCTGGTAGATGGAGTGCAAGCTGCAGATATCTTGCTCCATTGACTCCATGCAGGCGAAATGTCGATCGACGTTGAGAAGTAATTGCGACCGTGCCTTAGTGAGACAAAGCATCTACCGTCTCGGACCGTATGATGCTAGGTAAGCCTGCGCGTGACAATGAATGTACCGCCGGCGTTGCCAATAATAGTAGTGTCGCGTGGGAGGCCTCGTAAGGGTGTGTCGCATTGGATAGTCGTCTTAGCAGTGTCGCTTAGGCTATTGCAGCGGATGCCACAATTAAGACATCACAGTTGAAGCTCAATGTATGTTGTCGCTTGGGTATCTTTCTCTGCCTCGCTGTTTGTCGCATGGGTATAGCGGAGGTCGGACATCATTCGCAAGTCGCTATTGCTCGAGATTCGCAGAATGAATGGGTATTGATTTATGTAAACGCGCAGCCAGTGCTCATGGGCTTCTGGCGATAGAAAATCTATCCAATGACGTTAGATCATGGCAGAACATCTCTGCTATACAGGTTTCGCTGATTCGCTTAAAGCAATTCAAACAGCACGCTTGTCCACGGGGACGTTGCGCTTCAGTCCGATGAGCTGAAGCATCTCGGTCCAGAAGCCGACAGGCGGTGTGATGAAGGAGGCCTCGTAGGCGTCGATGAGAGGAGCATCCCAGACAAGGTCAACCTCATGCGGCTTCAGCCACTTCGTCCTCTTGAAGAGCTTCCAGAACACGAACAGGATCGGAGCAACACCAACCATGGTGTAGTATGTGAAGAAAGAATCGATGGAGAATTCTCCCACAAAGGTGCTGTAACCGTACACGAATACAACGCAGATCTCGAAGCATAGCGCGAACCAGGTACCGTAGGGCTGGAAGTAACCGCAGTAAGGGAGGGTCTTACGGTCGAGACCCTGGACCTTGCAAGCCTTGTAGAATGCGAGGTAGGTGCCGCACATGACGATGTAGTTTATGATACCTCCGGCGGTGATGATGTTGACGAGCCAGGTCAGGACCTTGGCGGAGTCGGAAGACAGCTGGAGGAAGGACAGGAACGGGAAGATCATGACTACCACAAAGCAGTAGATGGGAACACCGTTCTTGGTGCACTTGCGCAGGAACTTAGGAGCGCGGCCCTCGATCGCGAGCGAGTACAGACTGCGAGTCGCACAGTACGTGTACGTGTTTCCGGCAGAGAAGATACTCGTGATCAAGAGGGCATTGACGAGATGGGGAAGGCCACCAATGTTGAGGTTCTTCATGGCGATGACGTAGGGAGACGCGGCTGCGCTGCTCTCTCCTGCCTCCAAGACACTGACGAGCTCTGGGTCGTTGTAGGCTAGAACAACGCCAACGCAAAGAGCACCGAGGATGAAGAAGGCACCGAATCGGAAGTAAACCGTCTTGAATGCAGTCTTGATGTAGGCACGTGGGCGCTTGGCTTCACCGGAGACCATAGAGATGTACTCAGGACCAACAATGCAGAAGGAGGCAGCCCAAAGGGAGCCGAGGAAGCCTTCGAAACGATCGAGGTCGCTGCCGCCGGGCATTGGGCCCGGGTCGCGCCAGTGTCGGAAACCGTAAGCATCCTTCTGGGGGTTACCTCCGACCATGGTGATGAAGGTGAAGCAGTAGAGGATGAGGATCAGCAGAACCTTGCCTCCAGAGAGCCAGAATTCAGCTTCACCATACGCCTTTACAGCTAAGATGTTGCAAGCACTAAAAGCGATTAGTTCTTGTTCTTTACATAGGATACTACCCTTAGGGCAAACTGGTGGGTCTTACGCGTATAGGACAATGACACCCGCACAGACGGCAGCGACTGGAATGTCATCTCTCCAGAAGCGCAGCACAATGTTAAGGGCCGTGATCTCAAAAGGGATCAGCAGGGCCTCGTAGAAGAAGAAGTTCCAGCCAGCCATGAAGCCTAGGGACTCATCAACCCATTTTCCAGCCATTCGGATGAAGCCTCCGGATACAGGCATGAAACTGGCCATCTCGGCCATGGCGTTGTTCACGAGAGCGATGATGCAAGAGTATCCAGTGTATGCGAGGAGTAGACCGAGGGGACCGCCCTTGTTGAGAGCACCACCGATTGACACAAACAGAGCAGTACCAATGGAACCACCAATAGCGATGAGCTGAATTTGGCGGTTACCAAGGTGGCGCTGCAGGTCGTCGGAGTTGTCGGTCATCTGGCCATGTTGGATATCGTCACCAGGATACGCCTCGCGGACGTACTCTCCAGAATACTTCTTCTCTTCGGCCATGGTTGCAATGGGGGATTGTCGCTTTAGGCAAAAAGGGAATTGTCGCAAGGGAGTATTGTCGCGTATGGAAAGTCGCTTTGGTATGGGGTTTGTCGCTCTGGAGTCGACGCTTGGGGGAGGGATCGACTATCAGTCGCGTGGGGGAGCAGCAAAAGCTACGACAAAATGAGTTGCACTGGAGGCCAGTGAACGGAAGGAAGGCTACAACTTGGTAGAGGAAGTGAGATTGCCCTTGGTCGGAACCAGGACCCTGGGGGTGAAGGGCGCGGTACTTATACGGAGGACAGGCGCGGCACACCCAGTGTGCCTTGTCTGTGG